CAGGGCACGGTGGGCGTGCAAGGGCCGGCGCTCCTCGCTCACCCCCATCCCACACCCACACAGGACTCCCCGGGCTCCCTCGTCACCACCATCACCTTTATTGTGCCGCGGGTTCCCCTTGATGTCCCTCCTGATGTCCATCCTGGTGTCCCCACGCCATCCCCGGCCCCACCAGCCGCTCGCTGCCCTCCCAGAGCGCCCATGCCAGGCGGTCATCGCGCCCCGCTGGCCACGGCAGCTGCGGGCCACAGTCGGTGAAGTAGCGGCCACTGAGGGGCTCGAGGCCTTCCTGCGTGGCACAGTCCAGCACCACCTGGGCACCCTCGGACGCATCCAGGAACAGGAGCCAGGCCAGCGGCAGCAGCAGTGGCTTCAGCCACAGCGGAGCGTGCCGGAACAGYGAAGTGTTGACGAACCCTGCGGGAGATTGGCACATGTGGAGTGTCCTCCGTGGAGTGTCCCCCGTGGAGTGTCCCACTTGGGGCATCCCACTGTGTGACCCACTGGATGGAGATGGCCACGGTGGCCACTTACACAAGGGAACACATTCAAAGGGAGATGCCATGCAAAAGGACACACATGAAAAGGGACACGCTGTGCACAGGGACACCTCTGTGAAGGGACACACCATCTAAAGGGACACGCGCAGAGGGCTGCATCGTGCGAGGGGTCGATGCTGCCCGTGCAGGAATTCCCTGTGCAAAGGCTGCAAAGCACGGGGCCACCCCCCTCAGAGGGACACAGAGGGACACAAAGGGACACGAAGGGACAGATTCACAGACAGACACCAACGGGGAGCTGGGTCCTACCTGGGTGCACGGCGTAGCAAGTGACCTGCGTGCCCTGCTCACGCGTGGCCAGCTCGCGGGCGTGCAGCACGTTGGCCAATTTGCTGTCACAGTAGTCCTGGAAGGTGGAGAACAGCCCCGAGGGCGGCCGCCCCAGGGACTCGGGGTGCAGGCGGCCAGCGCAGTGGGCGCTGGAGGCCACGATGACCACCCGGCTGGGAGCACAGCTCCGCAGCCGCTCCAGCAGCAGCTGGGTCAGCAGGAAATGGCCCAGGTGGTTCACCTGGAAGGGGAGGCTGAAGCCGTCCTCTGTCGTGCCCCCGGCGCTCACCCCTGCGGAGTGAGGAGGCAATGGCAGCCCCTGGTGGTGCCCCGTGGGTGCAGAGGGGATTTGGGGTCCCGGCACTCACCCGCATTGTTGATGAGGAGGTGCAGATGGGGCTCCTGGAGCAGGAAGGTGCTGGCAAAAGCTCTCACGGAGCGCAGGCTGGCCAGGTCCAGATGCATGAACCGCACCTCATCATTCCCCGTTTCCTGCGGACACAGCAGGGCCTGGGGCAGGGCCGGGGGAGGGCCAGGGGGGTGCACCCTGCTCTGGGTTGGGGCTGGAGCCAGCCAGGGGCAGGGGGATGTTCTGGGGACTGGATCTGGCCCAAGGGCTGCAATGTGCTGGCACCTTTCAGCATGGGAAGCTGTGGCTACCCCCATGGCACAGTGTGCCCCTCCTTGGAGTATCTCAGGGTGCCTGGAATGTCCTATGGGGGTCTCTGAGGGGTTGTTCCTGGGGTGAGCCATGGGGGTCTCCTGGAGGTTTCCTGGACGTACCCATGGGGGTGTTTTGGGGGTTACTCATGTGATGCTCAGAGATGTCCTGTTGGGTGTCTCATGGACATCGCTGGGCTGCTAGGGGATGCCATGGCAGTGTCCTCAGGGTGCCCGTGGAGGTGTCTGGGGGTGCTCATGTGATGTCCAGGGGGTACATCGGGGGTACCCTGGGAGTCTCCTGGAGTTGCCCATTGGGTGCTGTGCCCCGTGTCTGTGCCACGGGGGTACCCTGGGACTGTCCTGGAGCTGCTCGGGGGGTGCCGGGGTGCCCTGGGGGTGCCATAGGGGTGCTCGGGGCTGTCCCGCGGGTGGGAATGCCGGGGGTTCCCGGGGTGCCGGCGCTCACCCTGCGGATGCGGCTGGCGGCGGCCTCTCCCCGCCGGGCGCTGCGGGTCGCCAGGATAACGCGGGCTCCGCACCGGGCGAGCTCCAGCGCCGTGGCCGCGCCGATGCCGCTGCTTCCCCCTGCGGAGCGGAGCGCGGGGGTGAGCGGGGGCAAAGGCCGCACCGGGGCCGGTGCCGGGTCCCTGGCGGTCGCTGCCGGCGCTCACCGGTGACGATGGCGGTGCGGCCGCGCAGCTCGGGGCGGGCGTGGGGCCGCGGGGCGCTGCGCAGCCCGTGCCGGAGCAGCGTGTACACCACCAGCAGCACCCCCACGCCCAGCAGCGCCCACCCCATCCCGCTGCCGCCGCCGTTCCGGGCGGCCCCGATCCGGCCCGGTCCCGCCCCGCCGCGGCCGCCCCGCCCCGCTCCCGCCTCCCCACGTCCCGCCGGGACNCCATCCCGCTGCCGCCGCCGTTCCGGGCGGCCCCGACCCGGCCCGGTCCCGCCCCGCCGCGGCCGCCCCGCCCCGCTCCCGCCTCCCCACGTCCCGCCGGGACCCACGGGCGGACGGGGCAAGGTCCGCACGGCTCCGGGCGGCGGCGGAGGTGGATTCGGGGCGCCGGGAGGAGCAGAGACAGAGAGAGGGTGAGTGCGAGCCAGCGCTGCCCCCGCCCCCATCAATACCCCGGGAAACCGGTCCTGCCCCGAGGGGTGGGAGGTCATGGAATCTCAGGGTGGTTCCGGTGGGAAGGGACCATCGGAGGTCATCTAGTCCAGTCCTCTGGGACACTCAGAACTGTGTCGGGGTAGCTGATTATCTCCAGGGGTAGGGAATCCACCACC